AATAAATAAATAAATAAATAAATAAATAAATAAATAAATAAATAGAAAGTTATTTATAACAGTGTGGTGGCCCACGCTTGTAATCTCAGCACTGAGGAGGTTTGGGCAAGAGAGTTCCTAGTTCAAGGGCTTGGGCCATATAGCAAGACACTGTCTCAAAACCTATAACAGGGCTGGTGAAATGGCTCAGTGGTTAAGGTCCAGATTCAATTCCCAGCAACCACGAAGTAGCTCACAGCCATCTATAATGGGATCTGATGCTCTCTTCTGTTATGCAGGCATGCATGCAAATAGAGTAGCACTTACATAAATAAAACTTTTTTTAATGGCTTTTCTCCCATTCCCCCTTCCTGCTCTCTCTCCCATTACCCAACCTTCCCCTTCCCACAGCAAGTGTTCCCCCTCTCCCTCCTCCTCCCTAGCTGCTCCTAATAAACCTGCACTTATATAATATATATTTAAAAAAATGTGGGCTGGAGAGATGGCTCAGCTTCCAAAGGACCTGGGTTCAATCCCCAGCCTCCACATGACAGCCTACAACTTTCCGTAACTCTAGTTTCCAGGGAGCTGACACCTGCATAAAAATGCACATAAAATAAAACTTAAAAAACAACAACAACAAAACTAAAAATTGCTTATTCTTCTGTAGACTTAATGTTCCAGTTCTTCAGGTTTTGTTGTTGTTGTTCAGTGTTATCTTTTAATAATATTTTTATGTATGTATGTATTTATTTATTTATTTTGTTTTTTTCAGGACAGGGTTTTTCTGTGTGGCCCTGGCTGTTGAAAATTAAATGGTGTTGAGCTATATGTTGTTTATTATTTTCCCTATAATTCTTGTGCTGGTATTATTTAACCCACTATCACAATCAATAAGAAACAGACACCTGTTAGATTTTATAAATGCCTTAAAGCACGTTGGGCTGGGCAGATAATTCCACCTTCATCTCAATAACCTCACCATCTACCTCCCAGCCCCCATCCACTGCCATCTGCCCTAAACATTCTTATCTGGGCTACCTTCCATCCATAATCTTATAAATACTTGCTTAGCCTTCATCCTGATCAATCCTTTCCATGCCACCTTTGGAGTCCTTTCCTCTTAGCCCACGTGGTTCCTTTTTCACACTAACTCATTGTGGCTTTCCTCCTCTCTCCTCTCTTCCTATCTGTGTCTGCCTGTCCCCTTCCTGTGATTCTCTTGTCCCGAAAGGCAGGGAAACTTAACCACACCTACCTCCTTCTGCCCTGCCCAGGTACAGGCGTTTTTTTATTAAACAATCAGGAACAATGTCTTAGGTAGGTTTACACAACAAGGTTAGTGCAGTACTCAGATCTTGAGGGCCAGTGTTTAGCATCAGACCAAGCCCCAACACCTGGCTGTCCTGGAACTCACTCTGTAGACCTTGCTGGCCTCTAATTCACAGAGATCTGCCTGTCTCTGCCTCTGGAATGCTGAGATTAAAGGGGTGCACCACCCCCACCCAAATGCATGTCACTCTTTATGTACATAAACAAAACTAGGCAGGGGCTTTGGAGATGGCATTTACAAAGGGCCCAAGTGGGCTGGAGAGATGGCTCAGAGGTTCAGAGCACTGACTCTTCTTCCAGAAGTCCTGAGTTCAATTCCCAGCAACTACGTGGTGGCTCACAACCATCTATAATGAGATGTAGGCAGAATACTGTATAAATAATAAGTCTTTTTTAAAAAAGGGTTACTGGAAGCTTGAAGACATTCAAAGTCATCCTCAGCTACACAGCAAGTTTCAGTTAGAGATAAACGAAACCCTGTCTCAATAAGACAGTAAGAAAGAAATAAAAACAAAATCAGCATGGAAGGTAACATCTGTGAAGGAAGGGAGACCAGGGGCAGTGAGGGCTAAGCCTCTTAAACGCCACTGTCCCTGCATCACAGTATCAAAATGGAGAGACACACAGAGATTTATCTGCCTCTGCCTCATGAGGATTTAAAGCATGTACCACCATCTCCAGCCAGTCTGGAAAATGGTTTGATTTTATTATTTCACATGTATGGGTGTTTTGCCTGCATATATATGTCTGTATGTTTACATGTGTGACTTGTGGCTGTAGAGGTCCAAAGAGGGCATCAGTGCCCCTGGAACTGGGGTTACAGAGGGTTGTGAGCAGCCATGTGGATGCTGAGACTTGAACCCTGGTCTTCTGAAAGAGCAGCTACTGTTCTTTCACTGAGCCATCCCTTGCCCCAGTGTGAAAGTTTTTGAAGACTTTAGTCAACAATCATGACCCACAAAGACACACACCATAGCAGAAAGACGATTCTTCCCACCCGAGGTGTAGCTGTGACCACTGAGGATCCCCAGTTGTCTGAGGCTCCCAGACTGCCTTCTCCCATGCCCACGGTTTAAGCAGTAGAAGATCTGTGGCCATCCGTGACCTCTGACCTTTCCCTTAGCACCTGGCCACATTCATCATGGACAAGAGTGAGGCTATTGCCTCAGTGGATGATGCCATCCGGAAGCTGGTGCAGCTGAGCTCCAAGGAGAAGGTCTGGGCCCAGGAAGTGCTGCTGCAGGTGAATGACAAGTCACTGCGACTGCTGGACGTTGAGTCTCAGGTACTGGCTGGCAACAGCAGGTGCTGGGAGCTGATGGGCAGAGGCAGGGCCAGATGTCCAGTTCATCCAGATGTGTGTGGCCATGTGGAAGGGAATGAGGCTGAGGATGGTTAGGGAGAACTGGACCCAGCTGAGAGTCTGGGCCGCTTTGGGCAACCTAGACTGGCTTAGCTCAGAACCTGCTGGGTTGCTGACCAATCAGGGCATCACCGTTCTCTGCAAAAGACTTGCTGGCTATAGAGAGCATGAGCTGGCTGTGTCCCAGAGGCCTATGCTCTGGGGCATCCCCATTAGTGTTTTGCACCTGCGAGTTACATATGTGTTCCTCTGTGTGTAGCATATTCTACATACCATGGCCAGGAGTATCCATTCCTGGGGTGGCAGTCACATAGGTAGTGTGCTCGCAATGGCAGCCTACATCCATATCCGGGGCTGGTCAGGCATGGCTTGACCCATCATGTTCCTCCCACAGGAGGAGCTGGAGAACTTCCCGCTGCCCACTGTGCAGCACAGCCAGACAGTGCTAAACCAGTTGCGCTACCCCTCCGTGCTGCTGCTGGTGTGCCAGGACTCAGACCAGAATAAGCCCGACATCCACTTTTTTCACTGTGATGAGGTGGAGGTAAGGCAGGACAGCCAGGGGTGGGCACCATGCCAGTGAGCCAAGCTGATTTGACACGGGTGTTTCCCCAGGCGGAACTGGTGCAGGAGGACATTGAGAGCGCCCTGGCTGACTACCGGCTGGGGAAGAAGATGCGGCCGCAGACCCTAAAGTACGGCCCTGGGGTGTAGACAGTGAGGGATCTTGCCCTTTCGCTTGGGGCACAGTAGCCTGGGGAGTGAGGGCAGCAGGGTGGCAGCACCCAGCAGGAGGACCATGGCCAGGCTGAACTGTGTCTTTTTTCTCCCCTCTAGGGGACACCAGGAGAAAATCCGGCAGCGGCAGTCTATCTTGCCCCCTCCACAGAGCCCGGCCCCCATTCCCTTCCAGCGACAGGATTCCCCTCAGGCCAAGAATCGTGTAGGCCTGCCATTGCCAGTGCCATTCAGTGAACCAGGTAGGCTGGGGGTAAGTGGGGACTCCCCTGGGGGTTAATGGAGAGCCTTCAGCAACTACTCCCCCCACCACAAACAGGTTATCGCCGGAGGGAATCCCAGGAAGAGGAGCCACGGGCCGTGCTGGCCCAGAGAATAGAAAAGGAAACGGTGGGTGCCCAGCCTTCCAAGACTCCTTTCCATCCTTGCCTGCTTCCTGTTAGCACTGAGCCTGGCTCATTCTGTTGCCAAAGTGTCCCCACAGGTGGGGATGACAATGGCTGACCCGTGGTTCCTCTTCTAACTTCAGCAAATCCTCAACTCTGCCCTGGATGACATTGAATGGTTTGTGGCCCGGCTCCAGAAGGCAGCTGAGGCTTTCAAGCAGTTGAACCAGCGGAAAAAGGGGAAGAAGAAGAACAAGAAGGGGCCAGCAGGTACTGACCACAGTAACAGGGAAGGGCTGGACAAACCTGGGGCAGGAAATGGTGGGCATACGTTGAGCTGGAGGGAAGTCAAGTCTGGATGGGACCAGTGTCTAACAACAGGCAGGAACCATCAGGCACTCAGTGGGGGCTGAGGCTCACAACTCCCCACATCTTGCCAGAGGGCGTCCTCACACTTCGAGCACGGCCCCCCTTGGAAGGAGAGTTTGTCGACTGTTTCCAGAAAACCAAGCTGGCCATCAACCTGCTGGTGAGTCAGCCCCGCCCTGTGCTGGTAGTGAGGGTGGGGTGTCACATGGGCCCACACACGCACATGCCATCTGTCACCTGCTTGCTCTTCCCACCCCCAGGCAAAGCTTCAGAAGCACATCCAAAACCCTAGTGCAGCTGAGCTGGTGCACTTCCTCTTCGGGCCTCTGGATCTGGTGACTGGGATTGGGGCAGGATGGGATTGGGGCAACAGAGTGATAGACCATGGATTTGGGGTAGAAGAAACAAGTGCCCACCTTAGCATAATCAGACTCTAAGTTCCCAGGAGGCTGAGGTCCCTCCCAGAGGGCCAGCCTATAGAGGCGTGGTAGGTGGGTAGTAGGCTGGATCTAGTGGATTTGGTGGGCTGGGCCCCCAACTGAAAATCACTATGTCCAGATCGTCAACACCTGTGGCGGCCCAGACATTGCGCGCTCTGTCTCCAGCCCTTTGCTGTCCACTGATGCTGTGAGCTTCCTGCGTGGCCACCTGGTCCCCAAAGAGATGGCACTGTGGGAGTCATTGGGGGAGACCTGGATGAGGCCTCGGTATGGAAAAGGGGCACATATGAAGGAAGATGGAGGCCCCTGGTGGGTTGGTCCTGGCAGGGCATGTCACTGACCTTCTGGACTGCCAACCACAGCTCTGAGTGGCCCCGGGAGCCACAAGTGCCACTCTATGTGCCCAAGTTCCAGAGCGGCTGGGAACCACCCCTGGACGTCCTACAGGAGGCTCCCTGGGAAGTAGAGGGACTGGCATCTGTACCCAGCGATCAGGTCAGGACTCCAGCCCAGCCCATGTCCACCCCTCACCTCCCCAGCCCACCAGCTTCCACCCCCAAGGCTCCTAAAGCACCAGTGCAGTCTGCGCAACCCCTGTAATGCCAGGCCACCTTTAGCTAACCACCTGCCTGGGCCTTTGGCCTTTTGTCCTCACTGATGCTAGGTCACAGCACATTCATCAAGCTTCCCCCCTGTGTCCCTTGTCCTGAGACTCACCGTAACGTACTCACTCTGACTCAGCCTGTACCCCACATCAAGCCCAGGCTCCCTGCTTTCCCCACAGTTGACCCCCAAGAGCCGACTATCGGTCCGACACTCCCCAAAGCACAGCCTCTCTTCTGAACCCCAAGTCCCAGAGGACATCGCATCACCGGGCAGCTCCCCACACACTAACAGGTAAGTCCATGCAGAGCGAGAGCCGGGCACTGTTCCAAGTGTGCTGACGCCACATGGTGCCAAATGCCTTGTTCTGCGTAAAGCATTTCTTTTCCAAATGAGAATCCAATTTTCTTCTTTTTTTTCCCTTATAATTTTAATTCTTATTGAAAGCAGTTTTTTCATACAATATATTCTGATCATGGTTTTCCCTCCCCTAACTCCTCCCAGATCCTCCCCACCCATGCAAATCCACACCCTTTATTTTTCTCTCTCATAACAGCAACAACAAAACACAATGAGCAAGAATAGGATGAAACAAACAAGCAGAAAAAAAAAAAGAGAGAGCCAAACAAAAAAAAAAAGCACAAGAAACATGTGCAAAAAATCCCATAAAAACACAAAATCGGAAACCATAATACATAAGCAAAAGTCCGGTAAGGTAAAAACAATGTGCAGGCAAAATGCGATGTGGCAAAAACCCTCTAAAAATACCCGAGTATGTTTTGTGTTAGCCACCAATTTTCTTCTTAACTTTGTAAACATACAATTGAAGGAAACTCTTCAAGCCACACATGCTTTCACAACCTTAACTCACATCAGTTCTTTCTTCTGTATTTCTTAACTTTTTTGGGGGGCGGGGGTTGAGACAGGGTTCTTCTGTATAGCCCTGGCTGTCCTAGAACTCACTCTGTAGACCAGGCAGGCCTGGAATTCAGAGATCTGCCTGGCTCTCCCTCCAGAGTACTGGGACTACAGGTGTGCTCCTTTACATCAGCCTGGTTACATCAGTTCTTTCTACTTTCTTTCTTACAATCAGTGTTAGAGATAGAAGCCAGATGTGGTGACACACACCTTTAATCCCGGCACTCAGGAGGCAGAGGCAGGCAGGTCTCTGAGTCTACACAGTACACTCCAGATCAACCAAGTTTCTGAGGTTACTTAGTGAGACCCTATCTCAAATAACAAAAAAGCCAGGTGTGATGGCAGAGGCAGGCAGGTCTCTGAGTCTACACAGTACACTCCAGATCAACCAAGTTTCTGAGGTTACTTAGTGAGACCCTATCTCAAATAACAAAAAAGCCAGGTGTGATGGCCCGTGCCTGTAAATCCTAGCACTCGGGAGACTGAAGCAAAAGCATTGGACAGACTCCAAGAACAACCAACGTGGGCCACATAGGCTACATGAAGTTACAAGCTAGCCTGGGCTACAGAGTGAGACCCTGTTCTTCCTTTCCCTGAAAGCCCAGGGTTTGATAGCGCATGCCTTTAATCGCAGCACTCAGAGGCAAAGGCATGCAAATCTCTGTCTCAGGCAGCCAACCGCCGCATAGGGAGATCCTGTCTCAAAAAATTAATTAATTACAATCAAGGTTAGAAACTCACTGAACCAAAAGAGGAAATAAAGAAACACGCTTACTGATCACCAACAGCTGTACCAAGCCCTGCCCACTATGGTGCTGCTGGAGGACACAGATTGAGGGTCCCAGGTTATCCCCTTCTCCTGTTGTGCATCCTATATCTCACAGTGAATAAGACAGAAGCCCAAGAAATGGGGCTACCCTTTTTATCTCCCCCGCCTCTGGTTCTTCCTCCTACCCAGTAGTCCCTGGGTTCCCTTTCAAGGGCTAGAAACAATTTCCAGCAAAAGAGTCCCTTTCCTGGGCCTTTTTGAGCTTGGTATGCAGCATGCCTACTAGGACCACATGTGTGGAACATTCTCAGCCTATCTATACACAGACCCGAACCCCCATTCCTCCTCCCTGTCCGGTGCACCAGGATCATGACCTGGCTGGGGGTATACCAATAGCCAGAGCTCACTCCTGCTGCAGCAGTACGGGGAGGCTTCCAGAGAGAACACCTAGTTGCCTCTAGGGGGTTATGACTGAAAATAACCCTAGCCCTGTGGTCAGCTGGGAAGGTGTGACCTGTCACTCCCTAGGCACACCTCTTGTTCTAGTCCCTCTGAGGAGCAGGACAAGAGACTCCCTAAGACAGTCTGGGCTGGGCCAGTCTCGTGGAGCCTGTTCTGCCCCCTCCTGCCTGCTGGGGTGTCACAGTTTCCATTCCCGGCTGGTGAGCACAGCTTCTCTGCACTGCAACCTGGGCTGCAGAACGGCAGGCAGCTGCCGCTGGGAAGCAGGAAGAGACCCCAGTCCGGCCCTGGGCCTCAACCCTTCCTGGTCCTGCAGGGGCTACCAGCCGACACCAGCCATGACGAAGTATGTGAAGATCCTCTATGACTTCACAGCACGCAACGCCAACGAGCTCTCGGTGCTCAAGGATGAGGTCCTGGAGGTGAGGGCTTGGGCTCTACAGGGGGAGTGGGGCGTGGCCTGGGACCAGGTTGTGTAACCCACCCACCTTCCCGGGGTGCTTGACCTGGGCTTCCTACTGGGCATCCAGTGGCCTCTCTGACCCCCACCATAGTCTGGCCGAGCCACTGAGCTGCCTTCTGATGTCTGGGGCAATCCCTGAATGAAGGTCTACTGTGGTGGGTAGCCTTTCAATGGAAGCCAGCAGGGGGCTTGTCACTCATGCCCACCCAAGAGTACTACCCTGGACCAGCTTCTTTGTGCCAGACCTGAATCCAGGTCACCCACTCTGGGACAGAAAGTGGAGCAGAATGGGGGAAGCTCTACATTCAGAATCAGGTTAAGAGGTACCCTGTCCCCAAGACTGGGGTGGGCAGGCAGGTACTGGGTAGCCGGTTAGACCGAGATGGTGCCCAGAGGATGGAGAGCTGGGCTTTATACACCTGGACGACTCTGCTCTGTGAAGGGTTTGGCAAGCGGCCCCAGCATCTGACTCCAGGAGTACTTGAGGTCTGCAGAAGGGTGTTGGTGAGTCTCACAGACATTATGACACCCTGGCAGGTGCTGGAGGATGGCCGGCAGTGGTGGAAGCTCCGGAATCGCAGTGGCCAGGCAGGCTACGTTCCCTGCAACATCCTGGCAGAGGCTCGGCAGGAGGACGTGGGTGCCCCCTTGGAACAGGTGACCGCCTGCCACGGCTCCATTCTGTCTACAGCACAGTCAGAGCCCCTAAGGTCAGGGGTGCGGCGGGTCTCAATGTGACATTTGAACCTGAGCCCTGGACACACCTGCTGCCCCCCAGCTGGGCCCAGGGCTGTGTGGGTTCCTGGGGTCTTACTCAAGGGAAGGAAGGGCTGGCCCACACACCTGGGGTCCCGGGTAAGTCCTAATAGCCCCTCCCCTCTTCCTCACCCCTTGCAGTCTGGCCAGAAATACTGGGGTCCTGCAAGCCCCACCCACAAAGTGCCCCCAATTTTCGCAGGGAACAAAGAAGGTGAGTAGAGCCATTTTGGGGTCAGAAGTGCAGGGGAGAGTGGGGCGGGGGGTTGAGGGAGAGACAAAGAACCAGTCCGGGTGGATGGGCTGAGAGCGTGCGCCCCACAGAGCTAATCCACCATATGGACGAAGTCAATGACGAGCTCATGAAAAAGATCAGCCACATCAAGGCACAGCCACAGCGCCACTTCCGCGTGGAGCGCAGCCAGCCAGTGCACCTGCCGCTTACCTTCGAGTCAGGTCCTGACGAGGTCCGCGCCTGGCTGGAAGCCAAAGCCTTCAGTGGCCGGTGAGCCCTGTGTGCACAGCCGGTGGGGCGGGGCCAGGAGGACACCACCCCGCCCACGGCCCCGCCCTCACGCCCACCTGCCCCTAGGATCGTGGAGAACCTGGGCATCTTGACTGGGCCCCAGCTCTTCTCCCTCAACAAGGAGGAGCTGAAGAAGGTGTGCGGGGAAGAGGGCAGTCGCGTGTACAGCCAGCTTACGGTTCAGAAAGCCTTCCTGGAGGTGAGCAGCTCCTGCCTGTTTCTGAGTTCCTTTCTTGGCACACGCGCCTGCTCCTGGGGTCACTGGGAAAACAAAACAAAAAAATCAGCAGGGCCCTGACCTGTACACCCTATTCTCCAAACTCCCGGCTGAGGTCCAGTCTCTCTTTTCTAGAAAAAGCAAAGTGGGTCGGAGCTGGAGGAGCTTATGCACAAGTTCAGGAGAGCGGAGGACAGCTAAACCACCCTGCGGACTTCACCAGAGACAGGGGAGGCCGCACCTGTAGTGGGCCCAACCCTAATGCATGGAGTATTATTTTTATATGTGTATTATTTTATACCAAGGACACAGTTGGGCTGGGTGTAACTGGCCTCCAGGCAGAGCCCTGTGCATGAGCCTAGCTACACCTGTGGGTGGCTCATTTGACACCCCAACCCGAGCCCCAACCCATATTCTCCTCCCCAAACCAAGGCCAGCCTCAGCCAAACCTGTACCTGGCAGTGCCAGTCCCTCCTCAACCTGCTGCCAAGGCCCCAGGACTCTCCAGGTGGGCAAGGCCTCTTCCCCTGGCCTTCCCTGTGCACACGGAGCCTCCTGTCCCTTATGATGCTGGGCCCCAACTCCACCCATCTCCCTTGTATTGCTTGCTTCTCCATTCACCTGCCCCCACGTCTGCTGGGCCCTAACTGCAGGATGGGCCTGTGCATCCAGCTGGCCAGCTTGATGACCTTGCCTTCAGATCTGCCCACACTCCCCTTCACGCTGCTAGCACCCCAAGAACAACCTGGTCACGGGGCTCCAGGACAGGAGGTCTTGGGTGCCCTGCTGGAATAGAGTATGCTGTATTCTTTCTTTTTTCAAGATCTAAGAATGGACCTAACTGCAGATGCCCCATTGTACCCAGAGAGCCTGGGACAACAGCTGTCTCTGGCTAGTTCCACCAGCCTTTGTGCTGGTGGCCGGTGAGTTTCCCAGCTCTGGATGAAGCCTCAGACCCAGAGAGGAGAGCGGGGACTCCATCACTATGTCAATAAACCATTTGTCGCCTATCAACTTACATGTCTGTCTCTTAGGGTAGAAGCGCTATGCCCCAATTCCCAAACTTCCTCTTCTCCTGGGATAGTTCATTGGCCTAGAACTCTGAATCATCCTTCCACATTCTCCTGTGCTGGGGTCCCATATGTATATCACCAAGCCTGGCCATACCTCTCCAAAGATCTGCCCAGCAGAGAGCAGCCCATTGACAGGTGGTGCTTTGGCCTCTCCACACCCAACCAAAGTGACCCTGGAGACATTTCTGGGAGGGAGTGCAGAGGTTGTCTACACAGCCCAAAGCCTTCCATCCAGCTGGCTTTCCAGGAGCCCATTCTGAGTAGAAGTGTTCAGCAGGCCCATGAACACGAACCAGAGGGGAAATAGAAGATTTTGTTCCAAGATGAGGGAGGTGTCAGAAAGAGGGCTTGGGCCTGAAAGACCCCACTGACAAGGTAGCAGTGGGCGACAAGGGCTGCTCAGGCATCTGCTCTTTGGGGGCATCTGCCTGACAGGCCGGACACTCTCCTTTGGAGCAAGCCTTTGGTGCCATCTGCTGGCAGCTCTTTGTTCATCTTTGGGTGACTGCTAGATATGTTCCACCTGGTGTGGGGACTGGCCTGTATTCCAAATTGCAGGTGAACCAAATCCTGGCAAGGATCACCTGAGTCCTCAATGTAACTGGGCACAGACTGAGTGGCAGAGACAATGTTCTTCAGCTACTCCGCCCTCCTGCCAGGCCTGAACCCAGGTCTCAGAGGTTCCAGCCCCTCAGCTCAGAAAAACCCCCAACTGGACCTAGTCTTTCCAGTAGTCTTGCCTCCATTATGGTTGGCGCCATCCTTGGGGTTCTCCAGAACCTGTATCTGCTTCCTACTAGCCCTTCCTCGTTATCCTACACTTAATACTGCTTCCAGATAGCTGAGGAGGCTCTAGACCTCTAAGCCCAAGCAGCCCCCCAACACAGGAGCTCCCAACTCCCCACTCCCATGTGCTCTGGCCTCGGTTCTAGGAAGTTGTCCCTGCTTCTCTCTTGAGCTTTCCACCACCCCTAGGTCCTTTTGAAAAGCAGAAAGCTGAGTGTGGATTAGGAAGCAGAGGGAGGAGGAACTATGTGAACTGGGAGTCAGATTAGGCCACACAGCAAGTTCTAGGCCAGCCAGGGTTACATAGTTTTAGAAGAAAAGAAAGCAAAGCAAAAATCTTCACTTTTAAATATTTTTTAGACAGGGTTTCTCTGTATAACCTTGGCTATCCTGGACTAGCTCTGTAGACCAGGCTGGCCTCAAACTCAGAGATCTACCTGCTTTTGCCTCCTGAGTGCTGGGAGGATTAAAGGCATGGGCCACATCTGCCCAGCTAGATTTTTGTTTTGTTTTTATTTTATGTGCATTTACGTTTGCCTGTACATGTATGTGTTTACACAGTACATGTCACGTGTGCTTGGTGCCCACCAAGGCCAGACAGGGTATCAGAGTTCCAGAAACTGGAGTTATGGAGAGTTGTGGGTACCGGGAACCCAACCCAGGTCCTATGCAGCAAAAGTGTTCCTAAAGGCCAAGATGGTGCTCCTTTAATTGTTTGGAAGCACAGCCTCATGTGGTACGGGCTGGCTTCAGATTTTGATGTGCCCGAGGATCACATTCCGAGGGCCTGGAATTCCTAATGCCTCTGCCTCTCAAGGGCTGGGATTACAGGCATGCACCCAGTTTTATGGGAATAAAGGAAACTCTGCCAATGGAGATGCATCCTGAACCCTCAGTACCTTTTAAAAAGAATAGCAGAGGAGCACCAAACCCCAGTGTCTAGTGAAGAGATGGAAGTATTACCGCCTCAGGGCAAGTCAGCCTGGGACCTTCCTTAACCATCTATTCTCCTCTCTGTTGGGTGTCACTGTCCGTGGCCTGCAGATGAGGGGTAACAAATTAGAACCGTGCACCACGTGCTCTCCTTGGCACTAGGTAGCCTCAGTCAAGCTTTAAGATGCAGGCCCGGAACCAAGAATAAGACACAAAGAGGCCAGGTCACCTGAGCTCGGGTTCGAGTGCAACTTTTTTAATTGCAACACGCCTCACCCAGATCCCTACCCAACAAGTCAGCAGGTGAATGGGAAAGGTTGCCACTATCTAAGGGTCTGGCCATAGGTTGGACAGACTATCCCTGGACAAGAAGGGAGAATGAATTTAAAACCCCCAATCCTAGGCACTGTTTCCGGACTGCTGAGCCAATTAGCTCTCTGTGTCTGGGACTGCTGTGGCTGCTGCTCTGTGCCTAGCTCCACCACCAGCAAATATTTCCATGAACAAGGCCCATCACTGTCTGGGGACAAGCATGTCTTTGTGATCTGCCAACCCCCTTCATCGCCCACAGCAGGCCATTGGACGCCTGTGGCCACTCAAGACATTCAAGACACTGGGCTTCCCACAGCACTCAGAAAGGGCTTTCCCTTCTTTCTTAGGAAATGATACAAAATAGCTGCCCAAGATATTTGGGAGAATGACAGATGGTAAGATGCCTCTCTTACCTGGATTCCCCAGGACAAGATGCAGCACTGAGGACTATGATGCTTAGCCAAAGTGGCCCTACAAGTCCTACGGAGGGACCGTTGGTGGTGGTGGGGAATGGTGCTGAGAAAATGCGTGGGGTGTGTCGAAGCAGAAGGGATATGCCCTGCCCCCTAAAAGTGAATGTGCCCCTAAAAATATTGGATGTAACAGGACAGGTAAAACTGTCAAGTGTCTGGGAGAAAGCATGGCGAAGGAAGATCCATGACAATGTAGTCAAATAACTTGTGCTCAAACAAGACGAGATGAGGGGCTGGAGGGATTAGTGGTTAAGAACGCTGTCTCTCCCAAAGGACGGGGGTCCAATTCCCAGCACCCACATGGCCGTCACAGTTGTCTGTAACTCCAGTTCTCCAGGGATCTGAGGGATCTGAGGGATCCCAGGGATCTGAGACCTTCACACTAATGCACATAAAATAATTTTTTTTAAAAAGAGATGAATCTGATTTCAAAGAGATAGCGTGGACTGCTCCAGGGCACAGACCACAGGGGGTGTGGATAGCCCAGCTGTACAGCTCTGAAGATGCAAAAAGTAGAGAGAGTCCTTTGCCAGGTATGGTCATTAATGCCTGTAATAGCATCTGGAATGCTGAAGCAGGAGGATTACTATGAGTTTGAGGCCAGCATGGGCTTATAGTGATACCCTGTCTCAAAGAACAACCAAACCCAAACTTTGAAAGATCCCCGGAGTGTATCTTCCGTCAGAGAGACCCCCTCCCAAGGAACAACGAGTCCATTCGGATGCAAACAGCAAGAGGCTTTTATTTTGATACACGGGTACCCGGGGCGAAAAGTCATTCGGGAGACTTCCGCGCCTCCTTGGGGAAAAACTGGGGGTTTTATAGGGTTTTAGAGCAGAAGCACTGGTACAGAAGCGAGAGGCATGGTTACAGGGGGCTGATTGGTACGTTTACACGAGACCACGGTTTGCGTCAAAGTTTGGCAGGGACACCAAGATTCCAGGAACTGGGTGGTCACAATGGTCATGATGACTCCTTGACGTGGCCCGCCACCTGTTGTTTTCCTTAGGACCCTTATCTTAACTGGAACAGTCTCGCAGATATCCATGAGGGTGATTAATACAAACTGTTTTAGTTTGACTGGGGCAGCCTGACCGCAGATATCCCAAGTGGGTGACACAGCTGGGTTTCTTAGTAATTTTTCAGTTTCTCATCTGGCCTTTAGAGTTTTACAAAACAGTGGTGTCCCACAAAATGGCGTTAGCTATGTTTAACTTAGGGTGAGGCAGGGGTCTTTCAACTTCTCTGGTTAATCACTACTCCCCAAAGCACAGTCGAGAGACTATTACTCACTGAGCGGGTCTTAAAGGCGCACTGCACTGTGGATGGTATTTGGGGACAGAGCCACCTAAAGACATTTTTTAGGGTTTGAGGTAAAGAGAAATAGTGGGGAGTGGGGAGAAGTTTGGGGTCTAGTTCAAGGAGGACTTTGGATGCTTGGTTAGGACTAAACACATAGGAGGCACAATTCATTCACGAGCAATGGGCACATAACTAAAGTGAGTTTCAAAACTCAAAGAGCCTTGCTCTGCTGTCCACCTACAGGTCCTGAACAGAAACTTTCTGAGGGGCTAAAGAAGGCTCAGCGGTTAAGAGCACTGGCTGCTCTTCTAGAGGACCTGAGGTTCAGTTTCCAGCACCCACATGGCAGCTCACAACTGCCTCAAAATCAAATAAAATAAACAAAAAACATTCTGTAACTTTCCAAACAAGGCATTTGAAACCTCATCTTCCTGCTATGAGTCTCTGCTATGAGGGCAACAGAGATGTGTGTGTGTGTGTGTGTGTGTGTGTGTGTGTGTAGGTCAGAGCTCAACAATGATTTTCTTCTATCTTTACATTTGGGGGGAGGTGGCAGTGGAGGTTGAACCTAGGCCCTGGAACATGCTAAGTGTCCTGTTAGTCTTTATGTCAGCTTGACATGGGCTAGGGTCATTTGGGAAGAGAAAACATCAGTGGAGAAAGTGCTGCCTCAGATTTGCCTGTGGGCCAAGTTCTTAATCAGTAATTGATGTGGGAGGTGCCATCTCTACGCAGGTGGTCCTGAATTGTAGGAGAAACTGACAGCACTTGGGAGGCACATCTCTCTTAGTTTGAGGCTAGCCTGTTCTACACAGAGAGTTCCAGGACAGCCAGAGCAGTATAGACAGGTCCTGTCTCGAAAGAGGGGGAGGGTGCTGGAGAGATGGCTCAGTGGTTAAGAACACTTGTTGCTCTGAGACAACCCAGGTTTGACTCCCAGCACCCACTTGGTGGCTTTCAACTATCTGTAACCCCAGTTTCAAGGAATCTATCAGGCAGAGATGTGGTGTAGATATATGCATTCAGGCAAAACGTTCACAAAGTAAAATAAATAAATCTTAAAAAAAATAAAAGAAAGAAAGGCTGAGCAAGCCATGTGGAACAAGCCATTAAGCAACACTCCTCCTTTTGTTCT